ACAACACACATGTATATAAGTGACAGTAAAGTCGTAGTTTTGATAATAAGAAAAGTGTATTATAATAATAAGAAGAAATGTTTCTTGAGCACCAAATCAGCATATTAGAATGATTTCTGAAGGATCATGTGACACTGAAGATTGGAGTAATGATGCTGAAAATTCAGCTTTGCATCACAGGAACAAATTACATTTTAAACTGAATTAAATTGAAAACAGTTATTTTAAATGTTAATATTATTATGTTATTATTATATTACCATTTTACTGTTTTTTATCAAATAAATGCAGCCTTGGTAAGCATTAGAATCCTCTTTCAAAAAAATCTATCTATCTATAAAATTATAAACATTAAATATTATTTATATTTCATATATTTATTGTTTTTTTTTACATTAAAATATGTATTACAAAAATTATTCCATCACATTTGAAAATCATCAAGCTGTAGGGAATTTTCTTTGTGGAAGACTGTTTTATTTGAGTGAATTCATATAGCTGAAACCTGTTATTGATATAGCAGAGAAGAGTTACTAATAAAAGGCCTCTAGACACCAAAATCGGAGTAAGAATACCTTTCATTCATATGCTCAAGCTTATCATCTGTATCATCGACTGGTTCTGCCAAATGGCCAGAAAAAGCCATCAAGGGAATTCCTTGAAAAGCAGCCAGGAAAAATGAACATTGCCCACATAAGGTGGAGACGAGCCAGACTGGGTTCAGGTGCCCAGAGATGCTCAGCAGCTGCTGTTGACTCGAGCCCCTGAACTCGTGGAGATTTAAGAACCGGGACAGACAAGAAGATCAATTCCAGACACGCTTCTTTTTTTTTTTCCTGAAAAGCCCGGGACACACCAAGCCGACCCCAAAGCACTAGCGGCGACGAAAGCTGACTGTGTTGTCGCTACGGAAGTCAATTTACACAAATTCCCATGAACGATAGTCGATTAACCTTTAGCATCCCTAGGTCATCTTACGTCGGCTGCGTCTCGGCCAAAAAACTGTGCTTGAACACACCGAAACGACTAAAGGCGACTGTCAACTAGCATGTGCGTTCTGCACCTGCGTGCAAGTAAATATCGGTCTATATCAGCAGGAATCAATAGGCCTAGTCTATTTTCATCATTCAAAAAGGGAAACCAAGACTGCAGATATACAAACATCGCTTGCTTAACATTTTAAAGATCAATCACGCTGATCACTTTCTTCATTCCAGTCGGCTCATGTTATTATGAAAATATTCGGCATTCGAATGCTCAGGTAAGTTGGCGTAGAACTATACGGCCTTCTGTCTGTACCTTCTTGACTTCTTTGCTCGCTTTAATCACTTTCAGTTTTATTCTCATCCACCAAGCTGAACACCCAATCAGAGTTCTCTCTCTCACCGACGGCATCCGACTAGACTAGAGGCAGACCGACGCTCAAACACGGCGTCCCGGGCCGGCCTCATGAGCAAAATCTTATTGGCTGCCGTCTGGCCTTTCACCATAAAGCCCTGCGTTGGCTGACACTTCCACTTCCTTGAGCCAAAACCTGCTAGCCAGTCCTAGACGCTGCCAGGCATCAGAATAACCCCTATGAGTCCATCTCTCATTCACTCACCCACAAGCCCCAGCCGTGTCACATATATAGACAGACAGTGATACAAAACAAGCCTGGCTACCCTCAATGGCAAGAAACACTGCTCTTTTTCTAGAATTTGCCATGTGTAATTTCATCACAGCAATTTGCCTTGTAACGATTACAAACTCTACCTACATAAAAGCTGTTCCACTCCGCCTGAGAGGAACATGACCATCCGAATATGAACACAATAATATGGGACAGTATACAATAAGAGATTGAACACATGACCACACTAATCCCAAGGGGGTAAATAAGATCAAAAGCCCTTTTTGAAAAGAGTAGATTAAACAGGTAAACACTACTGGCTCCTGGTCTCACAAATCCCCAGCAGAGACACACTCACTCACATCCCTTTTTGTTATAAGATGCGAAATAGACACAAAAGTGGCAGACTGGATTCATCTCAGGTCAGTGCTATGATACAGATTATCAGTCAAGCACAGAAAAAATACAAGCAGGAGGTCACGTGGGAAGCCAACAGCCAAACGACAAAACAACAAGTCTCAGAAGAGTTGCTGCAATGTTATTGTCAAAGGCTAGAAAACATGAACGAATGAAACGGTACATCAACTTTTTTCACAAAAATCTTCCATTACTTGAAAAGTGGAGGGACAAAACAGAGGTTTACAACTTGCCTTTCTAAAAGCACATTGAATAAAAATAGGTTAGGCTTTTTGTTTTGAGATTTGCTTTCATGCGCAATTATCAAGCTCATGTAGCTACCTGCAATTAGTAGTCTAAAGCAGTACAAACAATACAACCGGACTGATAATGGATCTAATAGCTGGATAAACAGCTCATTAATATTAAGCAGTAATGCAGTATAATGTAATAATAAAAATACCACTACAATTACGAGCACTGCTATTGTATTAAAAACTGCTCATTAATATGAAGCAGAAAAAGTCATATGATTTTCTTCTACACAGAGACAGCTTTATTATGACGTTATTATTACTAACATGATGTTAGTACTACCTATGTAGTCAAACTGTCAAATCAAAATAACACAATTATTGCTATTGGAAAACTGTCATAAAGAAAGACTCCATATTAATGTTTTTATACTAGTAACAATGACTGAGGCAGCTATAGTAATTTGAAGAGAATTTTGAAATCTCATAATATTGTGTAATAATTTTACAGCAGTAACTATATCTGTAGTGGAAGCCGATTCTTATATTTTGTAATGGGACACATTCAACGTTATTAATAATAATAGAAATAGAAAAAGTTTATTTCTAAAATAATTTAGTTGCAGCAAAAGCAATTAACCTACTGCAGATCACAGACACAAGGCAGAACGTGTAAAAATAGCCAGGATGTTAAGGCAATGATATTCATCTACTACAGCATATGATCACTGCTGGCACTGCTCATAAATCATATTGCATAAAAGGGCAATTAATTAGCCTTGGAAAGAGACAGATTCCCGCTTCAGGGACCCCCACCCTCAGAGCAGACCTGTGCAATGCCCTCAGCCTTCAGCGTGCGTGCTCTGTCAGGAACACTAATACATTGAAATGCATGTTCCTCATTTCCTCTAATAAAAGCCGCAGACTGTAGTGACTCCCGGACCTGAGAAGCACAGGACAAAAACACTCTCCTTTGTGTTTCTGCTGGTACATGCACGACTTGCCTACTGCGAAAGCTGGCGCACGCATCCAGCCCTTCAGGCAGAGCTGATGTCCCCAAATACCGATGTAGCTTTAATATGCGTGGCCAGCTCGAGTCAGATAGCTGAGAGGAGGGAGGGAGGAGGGAGGAGGGAGGGGGTTATATGGGTCCGATCCGCTGCTTTCACGAGCCCCAAGTGTCCACATTCAGTTGCAATGGTGGATTTCTCTAAGCGCGCGCTTACAAAAGTTGACTTCACTCCATGCAACAGCAAAAGCGTTTCATACTCTACCTGATTCTCCATAGTTCACCGGCCTGATAAAGGTCCTGTTTATTTACAGAAGGCTTTTGAGCGGCTGCTCCCGACTCCTCATTGTGTGTCAATTCCAGCCCAAAACCGGAAACTAGACGGTTCCCCTCCCCTCTCCGGACCTCTGGCATGCACCCAAAACAGAAAGCGTTTGTGACCAATCATATGCCGTCCAGGATGAGCTTGGCACCGCCCAGCCAATCGTGAAACGCGGTGGGCGGGACTTCCCACGGACCGCCTGTACTGGTAGGTAATAATTAGAGATTAGCCGAACCGATGGGATGTTTTATTTTTGCTGTCTACAGCGCTACGTAACGTGCTGATATTTTTTCCTGAATGATTTTTAATTTCGTATTTGAAAACAATGCATGTTACACACAGCTGTGTTGTGATTGGTTGTTGAGGGTATGCCTCTGTTCTGTGTTTAATTATGGGATTACAATAAATACTTAATGCTTAGTGAATGATTTCACTTGCCATTTGAAGGGACTAATTTAATATATGAGAGACTGGGTTGTCATACTTTTTACTATAGTGGAATGTTTAGCGGGTTTTCTCTTAAGCACTATTAAGGTCTTAGGCAGGCTACAATACCGGGAAAAATAATTCATTAAACACACGTTGTCACACTATATATGGGGTAAATTGTCACAATGGAATCAGGCTTTAAACAGCCTGTTATAGGCTTTTCATCTAAATTTAAACAGTAAACAAACATACCATGTTATGATAGGCTTATTAGAATTTGTTTGGAGGACAGAATTCACGAAAAAAGTATTATTATTGCTTTGCAATCTTAAAAAGAACCACTTGTCAAACTTAAAATCATAACTGTCCAGATCTTTGTATTACAGCAGAAGGTAGTGAGTGATGCAGTTCATGAAGCAGCTCAACTGCTCTACACCTATGATGTACACTTGATGGCGCTGTGTCAGGAAGAGAACAGAGGCTGCTTTTTATATTAAATATATAAATATATTTGGGTGAAGTAGGCCTATCCATAACCTGGAGTTGACCCCATTTTCTTCGTTTTCTAAGCAGCATCGTTGTAAGTTTTGTCTCTTGCAAGTTTTTGACTTTTATTTTAGTGTATATCATGGTGCTTCTTTGAAATACTTTTAAATGACAACAACCCCGTAAATAAAAGTTAAGGTATTTATTAGTATGATCTCACATCATGTCCCAGCATTCATAATGTATATAAAAAATATCCATATATATAACAAAAATACAGTATAATAAATTGAATTTAAAAATCCCACACCAAAATGCACATATTCCAGTTATTACATTAGTAAATTTGCACCATTTGCTGCGAGAAAATCATTCAGATCTCATATCGAACAGGCGGCATGATTTTCCTCCTCTGATAATATAACATATTTACATTTTAATCATCATTCAAGTTTCATCCATGAATCAAGTAGTTGATTATGACAAATTGTCTAAGTTACTTGTCTTAAATATAGAAGCCTTTGTTTCATATTAAGTAAATCAAGTAAAATACATATTGTTTTGTACATACATTCAATCTTGTCAAAACAGTGCAAATATTCATTTTTACATAACAACAGCGCGTTGTTTGTAAAGATTTTTTACATTTACACACAAATACTTCAGTTTCAAGTTCTGTGAGAAACGAGGAGAAAGTGCCTGAAACCTCAACCATTTCAACACAATATGCAACATGTGTTTCATATTACAAGTATCTCTTCAGTGTTATAACAAATGGAGTCTCAGGGTATTGATCTAGGATCAGCTCCTGCCAGTCCTTATAAATGTATTCACCAAGATTTGAAGGCTGGTGCTACACCAAGCAGCTTTAAAAATGAGATTGCATCTGTTTATCTTGTGCCTGCTAGCATCTTTTCCATGTCTTTGTGTTTCCTTTGAGGACTATGTAAGGCAGTCCAATGGCCCACTTATTCTGTGGCCAGTACTGCAGGTCAGGGAGGGAATAAGGGATCTCTAGACTAGCATCCATGTAAGCGACCAAAGTGGTACCGTAAGCCGTGGCCACCACAATCAGAATGTGCCTGAACAGAGAGGAGGAGAAAAATAAACTAGATTAGCATGACAGTCTGGACAATGTGGCTTAACCCTGTAAAGCCTGACATATGAAACAATAGTCAGAAGAATCTACTTTTTAAAAATAGAAGAGTTTATCGAACCGTTAGACAAAAAGTTAAATATCGAATATATTTTTTGTTGTGTATCATATTGATACATCAGGCTTGTATGGCTCATATAGTATTATATATACGAGAATGTGGAACTCACACTCAAAAATAAATAAAACACCTCAATTTTATTCAGAGGCACAAACTGAGAAAAAATTCCTGATACTGTATTTAAAGGTGGGGTATTTGATTTTCTTTTTTGACCATTTTTTCAAAATCACTTGAAATCCTATTCCTAACCCAGCCACTGAGTTAGAAGCACTGAAATGAAAATTAAGCAATTTAATCATCTGTGGAACGGGCTGGACTCGAAAAACTCCAGCCAATCATTTCCAAGACCACCTAGAATCATTGGACCGTAAGTGCGTCAATCAAACGGTCGTACCATACCCCCCCCCCCCCCCATACCCCTCGCGCGCGTGTCCCCTTCGTGCGCATACTCAAAGCTCGTGACCAGTCACAGTAAGTGGTACAGAGAGAGAAAAAGTGCAATCTCGCGCATCTGAGTTTTGCAGATGCATGATTGCGCGTCCATGTTCTTCGAATGGGTGGAGTCAGGGCCAGCATTGGAGGAAAGAAGGTAGGACCTTTTGAGTTGTGTATTTTCAAAATCTGCCGGCCGTTTTGCAAATCCCATACCCTACCTTTAAATGACCAAAAATTAAGATAAAATTCTGATTGCTTGTAATGTAATTTAATTGAGATCTTTATAACACAGACTACAGTAGTGGCCAAAGTTGAATTTTATATATTTTTAATTTGAGCGAAGAACAAAACGCTAAACTTGGTTAAGGTATTTATCTGACAAAATTATTTGGCAAAAAAAAAGGCACTACAGCTACAGGTTTTATTTCACTATGCAATGAAAAAAATTAAGAAAAAACAACAACAACAAGCTCACAGGAAAAAAATATACATTGACTACAACGTATTCAGTTATTAATATTTTGTCGGTTCTCTCTTGCTTTTGCATGTGTTCATCATTCCTTTGACAGAAAATGCACAATTTGGCATGTCATGTCAAATCTTTAACAAATTTCGAATAATAATTGAGTAAAGGGTGAAGATGTAAATTTTCCTAGGCCGGACATCACTTTTGGCCACTACCGTTCTTACTTAAAATGCATATAAATATCAGTTATCTCAGTTATGATATTTAAATGCCCTGAAGTTTTTATTGTGGGTGGCAAAATATCTAAATCAATGCAATACAATGCTAACTGAATGATTGAGTCCAAAAAGCCTGCTGTACAATATTTGATACTCACATTTGACCATGATATTTTTAAAACATGGTGTATGGACAATCATGTTGCTTCAGTCCGGTAACTGTTCATCTTGAAATATTACTAACAAATATAAAAGTTACTCTTACATCAGTAAAGATTTCACAGCAAAAAGACTTGTGTACCACAACCTGAAAGTGGACATTTTTACAATTGTACTAAAAGGCCTTTTACTTGCTAAAAAAAGTATAGACGACACAAAGAACAGTTTTATCAGCAAAGTTTTGATCGTGTTCATAATCTAGAGGCCCTAAAGATTTGTGTATTTATGTGATTCAGTAGGATTTCATAGGGTTAAAATGTGCTCAACACAAGGCAGAATAGCATGGCTCACTCACCAGATACCGTGCAGATAACAGAAGTTCAGTTTCTGCCAGAAGCTGCATCCAAAGCGATCGCTAATCCAGCAGGAAATGGCCAGAACCCACAGGCCAGTGGACGCCCAGGCCAGACGCAGCACTCGCTTATCTGTGCAACTGTTTGACAAAGAGATCAGTACTGAATGAGAGTGAAAACAAGCAAGATAGCAAAACAAGACATTAAAAAACATCTAGCACATGTAGCATTTAGTCTCAATGTGGACAAATAGTGACTATTACGACATCTGTAAAAAGCTTGAAGCGATAAATGCACATCCTTTACCTCCTTAACTCCATAAACAGAGAGTAGAGGATATGGATGGCAAAGCAGTTGAGAGCGTAGGCATTGGCTGTAGGTTTGACAAAAGAGGACATAGTGCTTATGACAGTGACGATCAGGACCATACGAGAGAACGTTCTCCTGCGGAACAACAAAACAGAGAAAGAGAGACCACACTTTAGACTGCAGATAGCCGAGTGATCTAAAATATTCAAAATAATCATCAAAATCAGGGGAATATATCGTTTTTGGGGGTCAGTAATTATATAACTATCAAAAAGATGTAAGTTTAAAACAGCATCAAATAATTTCATTTAGCTTTCAAGCATTTAAATATTAATATAAGGCTGGTTGGACCCTTACTGAGAAAGCTGTGGAAACCATCTCTCCCACAGTGAGATCAGAATATGATGCTGCAGGTTCAAACAGGGTTGCTGTTACACAAACTGAAAACTGTAAATGGATCCTTTAATTGCTTCTATTTTTACAGAAATGCAGATTTGTTAGAGGAGGAAGACAAGTTTTGCTCCATGCCATTACATAGAAAGGTTTGTTTCTATGTAATGGCATGGTACGGACCATGGTACAGGGAAAATATGAAATTGTTACCTGTCTTTAACAAAACATGGGAAGTGTCTGCGTGGGAACCACAGGGAGTAGCCAATAGCCAAAACCCACAGGATTGACAGCTCGTCCAGCATCTGGCCCATAAAACTCAGGGTCATGTGAAAATACATGGAGAAGATACCTGAAGATAGAGAGAGAGAAACAGACCATAGAGTGAGAAAGACATCAAGGAGAAAAACGCTTTATTCAGGAATCAACTCCCACACTACATTTTTCTTGTCAAATGTCCCTTTTCTCTTGGAAATGTGTCACGTAATGGAAGCAAAATGGGATGTGAATACAAGTAATTTTAACATGAATTCCTATTTTGCCATTTCTGGTGTATTCATTTGCATGTAAACATTTTGTTGCATTTCCAGTTCAAATAAATCACACTTGTTGGCTTATTTTGCCACAAACAAACAAACAAAATCAAAGTGACATTTCATTCATTCATTTATTTGAATTAAATATAATGAATCAGAGTATATAATGAATATATTGAATCAAATTTGATTTGGCTATTGAACAATGCTGCCCCCTAAAGGATTGTTAATGTCACAATTTCAGCCCCCTTTAAATTCGGCTTTCACACTTACCTACAAAGACCATCATGATCCAGACCAGATGCACAGCCAGGTTTCTTTCCTTGGCATATGGGTGCAGCAGGTAGAGCATTATGGGTGAGATCACAAAGAAGATGAAACTGCTCATCTGAAGGAGGAACAAACGCTGAATCAGTGAATCAGACATACTCAAACTCAAATCCTATCCCATGGTGATCCTAAATGTGGTTTTGTAGCAGTCACATTGACTTTGACACATTTTGTATTAGTCCAATACTGAGGTAGAACCATAAATAAAACCTGAATGGGCTGAACTGAACAGCACTGGATTCTATCTCTGTTGTGCACATGGAGAGTGTAACATTGTGCCTGAGTCACTGGATGCAGATGTATTAATATTGTGGGTGTAGTTAGCAATGTCTCGAATAGGATTCCTCTAGTGTTGATGTCTGAATCGAGAATGATTCACATTGACTAATGTGTGAAAGGATTTGCAGCTCGTCTGTTATGCTCATACCGTGTTGAAATACTCCACAACATTCTCTGAATGTTTATAGTTGTCTTCACACCAGTCCACTTCAGAGCTCTCGTAGGAAAACACACCTGCCATTGTGTCAGAGGACGGGAATGACGGGATTTCTGAGAGAAAGAGAGACTGATTTATTATTCACTGTAATAACGATACGTCAAAAATGCTATGGCTTACTCTGTGTTGAAGAACAAAACACTTGCCATGGTGCTAAAGCTTGTTGTCTTTACACAGAGTTCCAGAAAGGAGACTTTGAACAAAAGCAAATCTCTGCCTTTTTGGTGTCTCTAGTAGATATGATACAAAAGTTTTATTAAAGGATAAGGAGCCGTTCACACAAAACGCGCTCCACAGCTATGTTTTTCCACTGTTTTCAATGTAAACACATGGGGCCTCGAGTATATAGATGTCTGTTAGATTCTGCGTATGCACAACAGGTTTTAGATTTATAAAACCATGCGTTCAACAGAACCTGCGCAAAATGACTATGTTTGAGTAAACTCCATTAATGAGAGTGAAATATTTAATATAAATGTGTAGGCCTATATCAAAATTAAGCTTTTATTCATTCTGTGTATACTTCATTCGCTTAGGCTATTTACGTAAGTTTAAAAAAAATATATATAAATCCCGATATGTGCGTGGAAAATTGCGTATGATATATATATCAGGCACCTGACCATTTCTTAGCTGACAAAGTTTTCAGACAGCCAACCAATGTCATAAACTAAAGGTGCCTGTTTCCATAGAATTTATCTCTTTGTTGATTTGAATTTTTTAACTGCAGTAAGACAATGTATAACCACATTAACCGTGATGACGATCACATTGTTTTAAACCAATAACTTTTTAGATCATAATGCACACGTACCAGCACTAAATGTGGTTATAATATTTCAGCCTGTTGATTTTGTGATATTGATACAACTACATCCTCTCATTACCCCGCAGAGCACGGACCATCGAGCTGGGAAAAGTGAATCCTCTGGATAATAAATTAATTGGTAGGGAGCGCAGCACAGACTTGAGAAAGCACACAAACACTACAAAAACCAAACCTATGATGATGAAAATGCATCTTATATAAACTCTCTCAAATCAATATCAAACGACCGTACCCTTAAATAAAAAGAAACGAACTATCTTACCTCACAAAAACGCATCCACAGCCGCGCGCTCTGTGTGTCAGGTTTAAGTAGGGGAGAAATGTCCCCGATCCTGTTACGCGGGTCTCGCGCTGTGACATCACCTGGAGGGTTCAAGTGAAACCGAGCAAACAGTGGTAACGGCATTCTTCATTGTACCATTGTCTCGTGAACCTGTATCGTGAACAGACCTGAAACGCGCTATTTTACATGACAACGGCTGGCCTGGCACGCGCCCGCCTCCGGCACGAGCTGAGGTCAATATACTTCACCTCACCTGTCGACTCTTTGACGGCCTTCAACTCATAAACCGCAAAAATATGTCAAATATTCACCAACATTAAATTTCGATAACAGGAATGCCGTTGCCTCACACAGCACCTACTTTACATAAGTTTACATATATGCTCTCAGGTTACTTTTTTGGGGAGACAATGATTTATTGCAAATTTATAGAGGGCCTACAAGTATTTTATCTACATTAGTTTGTTTATTTAACTTATTTAGAGTTAGTAAGTGTCCTTAATTTATTAGTATTTTTAGAATTGTACCATTTTTTTCTCCAGTTCCTGTAAGTGGCAATTAATACATTCTATGTGGTAGGATTACATCTAGACTATTGATAATTGTGTGTTAATAAATATGACTATATTTTTTGTAAATATTAGTTAAATGTGTGCCTGCCAGAGACTGTGTACTTCTCTCTGTTGGGCCTATAGTTTTCCCCAAGGTTTCTACCTCATCCTAGCTAACTATCTTCAGGAGTTTTTCCATGATGCTACTGTCCCCATTGGCTTGTTCACCGGGGGTTTGTGAGGCTATATTTTCTCCAAGCTGCATTAGAACAATATGTATTGTGCAAATGGCTATACAAATAAATTTAATGTAATTAAAATGAACATACACAATCACCAGGAAGAACAATAAACGTGATTAAAACAAGCAAAGATCATTTCCACTATACTGTCATCGGATGTAGAAAAAGAAAAGAAAAAAAAACTCGGAAAGCTTATCAAGCTGTTCAATGAGATTCACTATTAATAATTTTAAAGCAGTTACAATAACTGGCATGTATTTAGGTTACTAGTACTACGGTAAATTTATGTTGACCTGTACATTATATAAAATCTCAGATTACCCAAAAAGTACAATATATTAAAAGAAACACCTGCCTTTAACCCATGGGAACATAGGCTACATTCATATATTTGAAGGCGTACTAAGACTGCTGCAGGTACCCTGCATAAACGTTAAGATCTCATGCAAATATCCAGGTTTAATACTGTATTTGTTTTTGTTTTTTTACACTCAGCAACATGCTGGACTTTGCATACATTTAGCAAAATGAGGACTGACTCTTATATTCTCTCTTGTTGTAGTGTCTCCATGCACCTGTTGAGACCTTTCAGTCTGAACTCACTTGCTCAACCAGTCCTCCCCACCCACCTGCATAGAAAGAATATGTTTTTTCTGGCATTCACTTGGCTGTCAAGGACACCTCTTTGTGCCAACCTCTATTCTACCGCAAATGCAATCCAAATATCATATCAAACACGTGTAACGCAGAAATTAGGTGAGGGGGAAAGAAAGACGGAAAAACATGTTTCCAAGGTATAATTCTTTAGGCTTGGTTCCAACTTTCAGGAACAACAATTTACTGGCCAAGAGGCAAATTGAAGTTTTCATTGCCTCGAGAGATACTGTATAACGACACAGTTCCTGATGCAAACTTGATTAGATTCTCAGTTTCGAAAAAAGAGTGAACCGGACACATTGTAATTCACATATTCCATAACGATGAGATATACATACATATGTAGTACAGCATTGAAATCTTTTTAAACAAAGCTCTCTTTAATAATGTTAGTACCACAGACATCAATTTATTTTGTAAAGATGTTACACAGAAGAGAAAATAAAATGACAATTTAAAGCATTGAAAATATATATATTTTTTTTCTTACATATAGTTTTGAGAAAATTACTCCAAAAATAAGGAAAAGGCTGTGATTGTTGTTCTTCCATTAAAAAAACTGTTCTAGAAAAACTGCACAACAGCACAGTCAAGTGGTCATTTGTGGGCAGTGCAGAGTCTTTGTAAACAGTGTATGCTCTCTCTTAGCCTGAAAACTGTACCAACAAAATGTTCTATTTTGTAAAAAAAATTACTTACAAAAATCACCATAACAAATGTTAAAACAAACCCTAAAAGATCTCGTCACTGGCTTGAGTCCAAATTCCCAGAGCCTAAGAGATTCCGTGAACTAGGAGGTTAAAGGTCAAAAGTCAGGTGCTGGTTTCATCAGTGCGGTCTACCTTGCTGGCATGCAGACGTCAGATCTTCTCCACATAGTTCCCAGGAAAGAGACCCTCCTTCCCATGAATCCGCCCTCTCCACCACCCTGATGGATCTACAGGAAAACCAGAGGAATATTAGAAACAATTCAAGTCTAAATCTAAACCACAACATTCTTTCTTTTTTCCAGGTCTCACCATCACTGAGTAGGTCTATGATATCGTTGACGTCAAAGCTAATTTCATCCACATCCTGGCCAAAATACTGATAAAGTGCTCTGCATCGAGGGCCCTGCGGTCGGGGCTGAGGTTTGGGGCGGCTAGAGGGGGCCGGTGGAGGCCGTTGACTGATGCTCCTTTTCCGCTGCATTCTGGTGAGATTTTAGACTCTTTGGTACTTACAAAAATTGGATTTGAGATGTTTTTGTATGTGCAAGTCTATCTGTGTTCTCTTACCCTGACATGCCCTGATCAGGCACATTGAGGAAGTCGAGGTTCGTGGACTGATTCTGGGCTGGCCTGGAGCCTTTTTGATTCTTCTGTGATCCCAGTTTAGGTAGAGCGTTGCTCGGTGGAGGGTTCTGCTTCACTGGCATGGAGTATGTCACTTCCCTCTGCTGCTTCTGCTGAGCACCAGCCCGGTTAAACTGTGCAGCCCCGTTCTGATGGCCCCCTGTTAGAAATACACATTATATAGAGGGTTACAGGTGTGAACCATAGTGTGTATCATTTCGGTTAGGGTGTCAGCTCAAGTTTTTTTATGATCTGCATTTTTATAATATTGTTAAAAAAAATGTAAAGCCAGAGACTACAAATGGGAATAATGTTTAATATGTAGACTTCATAGAGTAGAATGAGTTTTGAGCTTTGGTTCCTCCTAAGGTTTATTTACTCTCGGGGAGTTTTCTCTTGTAAAAAAGAAGTGTGCTTAATTGTACTGAATGTGCACTTGTAGTACTTTAAATCTTTAAAGTACACTTTCATGACTTTCTTAACACACTTAAGTACACTTTTAAAAAGTGCACTTTGTAATAATGTCAACTTAAAAGTTACTAAGTATATTTTAAATCATGTTGTAATGATCTTACAATGGGGCCTCCAATCAATCAGTTTGTAAAAATAAATACAAAACCTGTCCTAATTTAAAGAAAACAAGTTGACAAAAAGATTGAATTCAATATTTGGTGATAAAATAGCACAGCAAGAGATTTATAAGCATTGTTTTTGTAGGCCGGTCATTTTTGACCGGGAACACCACAAGTGTGACTTTGTGCCATTTCGTACAAAATAAAACCATTTCAAAACAAATTTCCTGGTTAATCATTAAATAACACTAGTGTGATAATCAGTGGAAATTGTTTTAATATTTTATGTAAAATTGACAAAATTATCCACAAATAATGATTTTTTCACTCAAAAACTGAGGTATGTAGCATGTACCAATATGTAGCTGCATAATGAGAGATTTATAAGCAATTTTTTGTAGGCCGGTAGTTTTTGATCGAGAACATCACAAGTGTTACAATGTGGAAAAACCCCCACAAAAAAATTACAAAAAGTATTAAAAAAAATTGGGGAAGTTGTTAGACTCTGAAGTGAGTAAAGTCAGTAAATTTTAGTCCAACGCAATAACATTAACTAGCATTTTCGGGTATGGGAAAATCCTCTTCGGAACACAACCTGAGGGTTAAAGAAGTATACTTGCTTTAATGTGTTCACTAACATACTAAAGCACATGTAAAGCTAATATACACTGCCCAGAAAAGAAAAAAAAAGTCACTGTTTGGATTTAAATAGGCAAATGCTTATGATTGCATTATTATTGCAGTGATTATTATGTTTCTAGCATGTTATATGTTTGGCAACAGTTCTTCTAACCCTAATTGATGGAGCGTGTAGCTTTTCATTTCTTAAACACTCATGTAGGAAGACGTATCATGGTCATATTCCAGGATGACAATGTCAAGATTCACCAGGCTCAAACTGTGAGAGAATGGTTGGGAGAGAGCATGAAGAATCATTTTCACACATGAACTGAGTCCAGACCTTAAATTCATTGAAAGTCTTTGGGATGTGCAGAGTAGACTTTACAGAGTGCTTGACTCTTCATTTGTCAATACAAGATCAAAATTTGATGCACCTCTTGATGGAAATAACATTACAACATGTATTTCCATCGATTTTTTTTTTTTTTTTTTAATTAATTTTAAGTCTGGACTCAGAGGTGCCTCATCATGTGTGAAAATGTTCCTTCATTCTCCCTTTTTTTCCACAAGTGTTGTCTTGCCATGGTTGCCTTGTTTTTGTTCATTAGAGATATGGGCTTCTCAATAAAGCACAGATCACTACATAAATTAACCTTAAATTTAACTAAACAGTTTTTAGAAAATTTGGATTCATTTTGCATATAAAACAAGGATTATAGCTACAGCAACTGGAGAATATACATTTTTTCCACGTGATTCAACACAGCAGTTACAGCGCAGAATTTCAACTTGATACATAAGTTAAGAGTTTTTATACCTCTGTGCCGTGGCTGGCTTCTTCCTCCTCCACCACTCTGTGGCATTCCCTTCCTGGTTGGCTCTGGAGAAAAACAAAAATGGAAGCTCAGTGAAGAGTTTTTGTGCAACTGTTGACACTTCATCCATCCAACCATCTGACGTACTGGATGTCTTTGGCAGTCCATCTCCTACAGAGACAGAAAGGGTCTTTCCTGCAGGTTTGATCACAGCTGCCTCAGTCTGTCCCCTCTGGAATACCACCATACGGGTGCCGCCTCCTCCCCAGCCCTCCTTTTTCACATGGAACTCCAGCCTGCACAAAACATTACCATTCATTCATGTTCTGCACTGGAATGAGATAAATGAGAAATGAGAGGGAG